ATTGTCTTCCATAAACACGGTTTTAACAGTGAGTCCGTAAGTGACTGTGGAGGCCAATTCTGGATCCACACATTCTTCCACAGTGAGGACATAGGTTTCTGGGCAGGAGTTGATCACGGTGTGGATTTGCCAAGTGTTCCTTCCTCTTAGCACGTTTCTCCCTTGCTTCCTGAGTTCGAGTGTCTTCAAAGCCCATGACAACTTTGGTAAAGGCTGTTCTCCAACTGGAGCGCTCGCAAACCAGTGCTTCCCAGTTGTCGGTGTTTGTAGTACATTTTTAAAAATGTGCCTTGAGACAGTCTTTAAACCTCTTTTGTGGATCACCAAGCATTACGCTTTCCATTTTTAAGTTCGGAATAGAGTAGTTGCTTTGGAAGACGATCATCAGGCATCCACACAACATGACCAGCCCAACGAAGTTGTTCTTACTAGCATCTTGTCGAGGGGGTGGCTCTCTGCCTGTCAGGTTCCTCCTCCTCCTTAGTCTCAATATTGCCATGTATGGTCTAGCTGAGATTCCTGCCTTGCTAGATGACCCTTGGGGTCCTTTCCAACGATTCTATGAAAATTCAGCCGGGTGGAGGAGAAGGATGGAGGGCAAAACTATAGCTTGTGGGCTCTGCCTGTCATTGGCTCCACCTCCCTGCCTTCCACCCCACCAGCCCAAAGAGACACCAGCCGCTCTGTCAGGCATTTAACCTGTCAAGGCTTAAGCAACTATTTGATGATTATGCCCTCTAAGCTGTGCACACATTACTGTCTTCTCCGTCTTCCCACCGCTGGCGTCTGAAGCTGAGTGCACATGACTTTAGCCCAATCCTTAGGCATCCCATAGTTTCTCGAGAAATGCTCCCTTTTGATGCAGTTTCCGTCAAAACAGCTTCCATCTGACTTGAAAGCAGAAGCCGCCGTTAAGCCAAGGTGTGTACATTTGAGACATGTTCTGCACATGCTCAGATGACAGCAACACCAGATCAGATATCAGCCCCGGGAAAATAAATCAAGTACAGTAATGTGCAATGGGTGAAGACAACCCCACACAGTCCCAGGTGTATACAGCAACATTAAAAAGCAATTTGAAACATGGGGGGTGGGGGATGGAGGAAATGACTGCTCTGTGTTTTAAACCAATAATGTGTACTGTACATAGCCATAGTCTGGTATACAGCAGATTCCTGTGTTCCTGCAGATCCATGGTTTTGTTCATGCACAAATTTATTAAAGCAATCAGCTAAGATTTATTTAGTTGGGTAGTGGGCCAATTAATAACTCAGAGGATGCCATCCTACAGGGTGAGATCCATTTGGGAGTAAGAAGTGTTCAACTCAGCAGAACTTAGCTGGGGTAGCTCAGTCGGTAGAGCATGAGACCCTTAATCTTAGGGTCATGGGTTTGAGTCCCGCATTAGGCAAAAGATTCCTGCATTGCAGGGGGTTGGACTAGATGACCCTCGTGGTCCCTTCCAACTCTAGAATTCTATGAAATACAGTATGCCTAGGAGAGCGCTGGGGCTAACGGTGCTAAATTAGCTGCAATGCCTCCCTAATACCACCAGGGGGCAGAGCACAACTGCATATTTTTTCCATTCACGGTTTGGGCACCAGTGCAGCCAGTTTAGGATGAGTGCTGGAAGCAAGCGCAGGGGTCAGAATTCGGGGGTCCCACTGAGCAGAGTGAGCAGGAGGGTCCTCAATAAGAGCTCCAGGCTCTTTTAAAGTGAAGGAATATGTAGACAGTATCTGTTCCTGACCGTCTTGTTTGTTGAGCATTCATCCTGGCTTGTTTGCAAGGAAGTTAGTGGAAGGGCTGTAGCTCAGTGGACATGACATATGCTTTGCATGCAGAAGGTCACAGGCTCAATCCCCGGCACCTCCAGGTAGGCCTGGAAGAAACTCCCTGTCTGAATTTGCAGAGAGCCACTGCCAGTCAGTGTAGTGAATGGCCTGACTCACAGATACATAGAATTTTGGAGTTGGAAGGGATTCTCAGCGGTCAACTAGTCCACCCCCCCCAATGCAGAAATCAGCTAAAGAATCACTGGCGGACAGCCATCCAACTTCTGTTTAAAAGCCTCCAATGAAGGTGAGTCCATTTCACTGTGAAACAGCTCTTCCCATCAGAAAGTACCACCAGAAATCCAGAAAGACTCAGCAGAAGGCATTTTCCTGTATTCCTATATTTAGACAATGCCGGCTATCCATTGAGCATTCATTTTGATTTGCTCACAGGGAGGTTAGACGACATTGCGTCATACAGGTGTTATTCCAGCATGTTTCCTTGTCGCTTTTGTTTACTGCATAGACATCCAATGGGGCAGTGAGGGAGCTGGTTTGTTGTGTGAGAGCCTCCAATGAACTCTAATTGCACCAATTAAATTTAGGATTGAATCCCACCTGAAAATAGCAACTGTCTGGAAGGGCCCTAAAATTAACCGAACTGTACCACTGCAGGACAGGCATGGTTTCAAACGCACACACAAACGCTAACAACTGGTGCATGTTCTGTTCTGCTCTGCCTCCGAAGAGAAGTGTGCAGCACAGTCTTCATCCTTTCAACAGCAGCATCATAGCTGGTGCTCAGCCACATGCAAGATTTTCGCTGCATAATTTCCCACCCACCTTGTTAGCAGTTCTTATGTGAGAGATCCTTCTTCAGGAAGGGAAAGGATAAGGTGTGGAGGTGGGGGGTGGGTGGGTGAACAGCTGGGGAAGCTTTGAAACACCTCTCATTATTTAAAAAAACAGGGCAAGGGAAAGAGGAAACTGTATTTGTTAACTGATAAATAGTGACCGAGTTTGCTTCTATCCCTTTATTTATTTATTTATTTATTTATTTATTTATTGCATTTACAGTGGTACCTTGGGTTACATACGCTTCAGGTTACATATGCTTCAGGTTACAGACTCCGCTAACCCAGAAATAGTGCTTCAGGTTAAGAACTTTGCTTCAGGATGAGAACAGAAATCGTGCTCTGGTGGCACGGCGGCAGCGGGAGGCCCCACTAGCTAAAGTGGTGCTTCAGGTTAAGAACAGTTTCAGGTTAAGAACGGACCTCCAGAACGAATTAAGTACTTAACTCGAGGTACCACTGTATATCCAGCCTTCCCCCCACACCACCAAGGAGCTCAGAGTTTTACAAGATGGTTCTCCAGCTCCTCATTTGTGAGGTAGGTTAGGCTAAGAGGTAGTGACTGACCCCAAGGTCACTTATATGATCCTTTAGCTTTGCAACATTAATTTAGCACTTGCAGCAGGAAAGTGATCCACAGTCTTGGTTTAGTCCCAAATCAATTTTGCCATCATTATCCAAGAGGCTAACAGGGCGGTCCTTCTGACATTTGTCAGCCTGACAAGGGTTTAGGGTTTCATACAGGCAGCAACTTGAGACGTCTGCTTAATTAGTTAAAATATTTGGTGCTACTTACAGGTTCCACTTGGGACGTGGTTGGCGCTGTGGGTTAAACCACTGAGCCTAGGGCTTGCTGATAAGAAGGTCGGCGGTTCAAATCCCCACAACGGGGTGAGCTCCCGTTGCTCGGTCCCAGCTCCTGCCAACCTAGCAGTTTAAAAGCACAGCAAAGTGCAAGTAGATAAATAGGTACCACTCCAGCAGGAAGGTAAACGGTGTTTCCGTGCGCTGCTCTGGTTCGCCACATGCTGCATGCCGGCTCCCTCGGCCAATAAAGCGAGATGAGTGGCCGCAACCCCAGAGTCGGTCACAACTGGACCTAATGGTCAGGGGTCCCTTTACCTTTACAGGTGCCACTTAATACCTATTCTGTGTTTGTAAAAACTTGGTTGTTTAGCATGGCAGAGCCAACTCTTTGGAACCCTTCTTGCCTATTGAGATCAAAGCAGGCGACTTCGCTGTACTCTTTGCGGCGCCTGCTAAAAACATCCCTGTTTAGAGGAGCCTCCCCAGATGCCAATAATAATAATAATAATAATAATAATAATAATAATTTATTATTTATACCCCGCCCATCTGGCTGGGCCTCCCCAGCCACTCTGGGCGGCTTCCATAAAAAACCAAAAATACAGTAAAATATCACACGTTAAAAACTTCCCTGAACAGGGCTGCCTTAAGATGTCTTCTGAATGTCAGGTAGTTGTTTATCGCTTTGACATCTGCTGGAAGGGCGTTCCACAGGGCGGGCGCCACTACCGAGAAGGCCCTAGAAATCTGGGACAATTTTCAGACCCTCCAAGTGTCCCTATTTTCCAGGTCCAATCCCAGATTTACAGAAGCCGTCCCGGTTTCTTATTTGATCCTGGAAATGTCCCGCGTTTCCTTAGGACGTCCCTATTTTCATTGGAGAAACATGGGGAGGGTATGCATTTTGATCTGTTTTAGTATTTTAACTTCTGTATGTTTTAAAGCATACAGTACGTTTCTCCGTTTTCTCATTTTCAAATTATTATAAACCACTTTGAGGTTGTTGGTTGTTGTTTTTTACAGTCAAGCGGTGTATAAATTTTATGAAATAAATAGAGAGACACAGACACACACAATATACGTATATTTATTTTTCTGCCCATCAGGCCTCGTCACTTTTAGACCAGAGGATGAAGGAGAAATTAATTCGGATATTTCCGTGGAGCCCGAACAGGAGACAATTCGGGTATTTCCGGACATTGCCCACCAAAGCCTATTCGGCTGTTTACGTCCATTTCCGAACTTCTCTCTCTCTCTCCACAGGTTTCCGGATGTTGCCTCTACCTTTCCCCCTCCCTCTCCCAGTAACTTTCTCTCCCACCCCAACGCAATAGAAAGCTTTAGCCACGCCCTCTCCTTTTCCTCCCTCTCTCTCTCCCTCTCTCTCTTTTTCGCAAAGAAGCCCCGCCTTTCTTTCCTTGCCCAACCAATCAACTCTCCGCCGGCGCCTTCGTGTTTTTCCGTGCACCGTGGGAAGTTGAATCGGCTTAGCGTTCGGAACTTTCCGCCAGACCGCTGGAGGGTAGCGGATGACGAGAGCGAGGCGTGCGAAGCAGCCGTTGTTGTCGAGGCCCCTTTCGAGTGTTTCCGGAAAACAGGCGGAACTTCCCGAAGCCCGGCGGAGGCGGCCATGTTGGGAGCCTCCGCTGTATGAAGCTGAGGGGCGGCGAGTGGAGCTCGGGCACCGGCAGTGACGGGAAAACGGTGTCCGGGCCCGGTTCTGGAGGCGCGCCGGGGCTCGGAAGCCTCAGACCAGACAAAGGCTTGCTTTGGGTCCCGGCGTTTCCCCGCTTCGAGTTTTTTCGACCGGTGCGGCCTTGTCCCCGCGCCTCATCCTCGGCCTCGCGTGAACTGTCAAGCCGGGCACCCCTCATTCAAAGCCGGCGGGGCGCGGGACCCACCTATGTATAGGCGGTGTTGGTGCCTTCCGACCACCCATTGAGCCCCATTTCCCCCATGCTGGTGGCTTGGCCGCCCCCCTCGCCGTGAGGAGGAGGAGGAGGAGGAGGAGGAAGAGCCGGAGGAGGAGGAAGACCCCGACCCCTTCCAGCTGGGTCAGGGCGAAGGAGAAGGGGAAGCAGCTGAGCAGCAGTGGGGGGACTCTCCCCTCAGGCCCTGCCCAAGGGAGCCATGTCGAACAGTGGTCGGAGTCCCCTGCCCACCCTCAATGAGAGAGACACGGAGCAGGTAAAAGGGCTGGGTGTGCATTTGGGGAGGGGGTGGGATCCAACAGGGAAACCTGGGGGTTCCTTGATCCCACATATATTCCTTCTGTGAGGGTTAATGTGGATGGGGAGGCATGTCTAGGTTCTTCTTTGAAAGGAAAAAGGAAAAGTGATCCTGGTTCGGTTAGCCCAGCACATGTGGGAAATTTAGCTGAGGGAATCTTCTTCTTTTCCCATGTCACAGAAATGTAGTGGTACATCTGTTTGTGTGGGTATGTGAAGCCTCCCACGTATTCCCCCCTCCCCCACCAGGCTGTTGTCAGAAAGCAGACAGATATTTTTAAAAACATAGCACCACACGGGTGGCAATCCCGCATGGGAAGATGGATAAGTGCTGTCCCTTTAAGAGTTGCGTGGTAGGAAGAATCTAGCCAGATGAGATGTTCTTCACCTCCCACCCATTCCCCCTCCTCAGTCTAAGTCTCTGGAGCACTGTGATGGGAATAGCTTAAGGCTGCCACTTTCCTTTTTAACTGCCTGTGTTCCTGTGCCTTTTAAAAAACCTATAAAAGCATTCTGAGGCATGCAGAAATATAGCAGGTGAAGCGTTGTTCAGCTGTTTGTGCCATTCCAGGGAGTGTGCTTCTCTTGTTTTTATTTCCTGTTTGATAGGCAGGTGCAGGGAAAGATTGAAACGGTACAGAAAAGAAGGGGCAACCCTGACCTCCTCTGTGCTCCAAAGATTTGGGGGCGGGGGAGGAGCTGCATCTGACTTGATTTTCCATTCCATGTACTGTAATGTTTAAAGGGGAGCATTCTTTGTGGAGCAGCTTCCCATGAAGGGATATTGTTACTTCTTTTTTTCTTTTTTCCAAGTGACTCTGCTCCTGTGCTGCTTTTCGACAGTAGGTTGTTGTGGAGAAATTCAACAGGCATAACTCTCACCACCACTGATTCATCTCTTATGTGGGGGATGCAGGGGGAAGCTTACCTTTCTAGATTTCATGAGCAGGGTTAACAAAGCAACTGAATGAATGGCAACCCTGCCCTGTAAACTTTGGACAAGGCTTGAGTGCTAGGAGGAGGCTGGGAAAGGAAACCTCCAGGCTTACCTTCCTCTTGTAAAGGTGGATGTGTGGGGTAATTGGAGTGGTGGTAGAAGTGAATAACATGCAGGGTAATGTCCAGGAGGGTAGGTAAAAACACCAGGAGCTGGGGAAGAAGCGGCTATTTGGGTGGAGTTACTACTACCTGTTACTTGTTTGGGACATTGTGAAAGGTATTGCTTTGGTGAATGGTTTGGGTAACAAGCAGCCACCACTGGGATGAATGAATCACAGGAAGGTGCAGCTAAAGGTGGTTAGAGAATATCTTTCTTGCATCTTTTCTCTTTTTATCCAGAAAGAACACTTGGGAAGGGTACTTAATAGTGAACGGTGCTGGTACTGAGAGGAGCTGTATTGGTTTGCTTGCTGGACTGAAGAAGGCAATTGAGCAATGGATAAGAGGATGAGGTTGAATTGTCAGGAATTGCATGTGTGTGTGTGTAATCTTGCATTTTATTCTGGGAGATTGAGTCATTGAGTCGTCTTCCCCTTTTTGCTCTTTTGTGGCAGGGAGTGCTGTTGTGGGATGCATTGGGGAACCAACTCAATCTAGAAGGCTGCAGGAGGTTGAAATACCATGTGGAAACATCACTCTTCTTCTCCCATTCCCCCATCCCACTTAAGTACCACTCTTGCCTTCATGCTTCTCTTTGGATTATTATTTTGGACTGAGGAAGCTAGTCAGTGAAGCAGGTAGAGGATAGCACATTTTCTGACATGCAGATAGGATAGGTCAACTACCTCAACTGAGTTTGAGGTTTGATGTTGCCTAAATGATACCTTAAACCACCAATAAGATTGCAAAGTCTGGTTCTGAGAGGTACATGTCAGAACACTTTGTCACTTAGGTTCAGTCCCCATTCTGGAGTGCACTACCATGGGGGTTATCTCTGAACATGATGTATGTGTGATAGCATAAGTGAATTGCCCAGGTGCTGTAGACAAAGGGCATCTCCTCAATGAAGGTATACCGTTTTCATGCCCTTAAAAGGGGTTTCATACAAGAGTTTGAAGCAACACCTTAACTTGCTTTCCCCCTAGCTGACATACCCTTAGAGATTCCAAGTGATGAGGCATCATCTTGTTTGGGTGACTTCTGAGTGCCTACCTAATCTATCTGTGGCCAATTTTGTAAATGAGACAGTTCAAGTGTTCAAAGCACTCCACACATGTTGTCCAGGTAATCCTTGTAATCCAAAGTAGAACAATATTGTCCCTGTGTTTCAAGTGTAGGGTGGAGACTGAGAGAAGTATGGTTTCACCAAGGCCACCTACTGATTTTGTGGTGAGGTGCAGTTTGGACATGAGACTTCTCAGCTGCTATGCTACATGTGGAAACCAAATAGAATATTTCAGTTTTATAAGCTACCTTCTTTCAAACTAGGAGCATTGCTGGGTCAGGCCAGAGGACGATCTACTGCTGCATCCTATTCTCACAGTGGCCAAGCAGATGCCCTAAAGCAGAGCTTTCCAAAATGTGTCGTGACATGTTAGTGTGTTGGCTACAGTGTGTAGGTATGTCGTGCGAACGCTCCCCGCACTCCTCCTGGGGCTGGAAATGGGTTAGTTTAACCTCTGGTTTGCTAGTAAAACTGAATTATTGTGTCGCGAAATGATGCATGTCTAAAAAGTGTGACACCAACATGCAAAGTTTAGACAGCTCTGCCCTAAAGGGAAGCACGCAAACAGGACCTGAGTGCAACAGCAGCTCCCCCCACTTGTAGTTCTCAACAACTGGTATTCCAAAGCATACTGCTTCTGACACTGAGGACAGAACATAGGCATTGATTGCCTTACCCTCTAAGGTGGTGGCCATCACTACCCTCCGCTTGGTACGAGTTCCATAGTTTATCTGTTCTGTGTGATTATGTGCTGTGCAAAGGAAGTACATTCTTTCGTATGTCCTCTTTCTTTTATCTGTCCTGAATCTTCCTTTCCTTGCCTGCCATAGCTTATTTTTTGCTACTGTACATGAGTGATCATGTGTACTCTCTCCTGCCTCCTTACATCACTTGACTGCCCCCAGAACCAGCACTCCCTCAGAGCCAAGAAGAGGATAAAAACCCGCTTCCCACCCTTTTTGTCTCATTCATCCCTCTTACGTGCCTATTTCTCTCTCCAACAGCTTTTTGCTCTTGTGGGCTGCTCTTTGCAGCTTCCGCAATCTCTTAATTGCGTTGGTGGGACAATTCTTTCTTTGGTTGGGCTGGGGCAGGTGGGTGGAGGAATGCATCAAGGATTAGGTGAGCTGTAGCTGATGGTTAAAAATTTCCTCTGTAGTTATACAATACATGTATCTTGGGCCACAATCACACCATACATTTGAAACCACATTAACAATCGTGACTTCTCCCAAGGATTCCCAGGAAGTATAGTTTGTTAGGTATGCTGAGAGTTGTTAGGAGTCCTCTATTCCCCTCTCAGAGCCACAATTCCTAAAGTGGTTTAACAACCAAATCCTCTTCCCAGTGGAATTGTAGCTCTGTGAGGGGAATAGGGGTGTCCTAACACCTGTCAGTACCTTTAACAATCTGCAGTTCCCATGATCATTTGCGGGAAGCCATGGCTCTTAAAGTACTGTTATACAACTTTAACTGTCTAGTGCGGATGTGGGCTTGCCCTTTGTAGTTCAGCCCTATGAGGAGGCATGGTTGAGCAGTAGCTTATGGGTGCCATTAATGGGGTGACTCAGTGGCAGACAGAGATAGATTTAGGTGGCACAATCCACTTATAATTTCTCCCGCACAATTCTCATTAAAGTGAGTGAGAATGCAAGTACAAGAGCACAGTTCATTTTTTTCAACAGTGCCACCTTGTCTTTAGCTGTGATTCCTTAATTGCAGGGGTTGGGCTAGATGACCCTTGGGTATACCTTCCATCTCTACAATTCTTTGAGTCTATGATAATATCCTGATGGATAGTGCTCCAAATTACAGTATTGAGTTGTGGAGGGTAGTGGAATGGGGAAAGGGCTGTAGAGCACCTGCTTTGCATGCAGAAGGCTCCTGGTTCAATCCCCATCATCTCCAGAATGAGAAAACCTCATGTTGGAAACCCTGGAGAGTTGCTGCCTGCCATTGTAGACAGTACTGAGCTTGATGGACCCAATGGTCTGACTTTGCAAAGGCAAATTCCTATATTCCAATGAGAGTTTGCTGTTTGGGGTTGTGCAGTGTGTGTACTGACTCATTTCCAGCAATTTATAAACTTCTCCATTTCAGCTTGCAGTGGCTGCACCTCACTTTGGAAGTTGAACACTATGACTTTAGGGTGAAGGGTGGGTAATTAATGGTGGTAAAGGTAAAGGGACCCCTGACCATTAGGTCCAGTCGTGGCCGACTCTGGGTTGCGGCGCTCATCTCGCTTTATTGGCCAAGGGAGCCGGCGTACAGCTTCCGGGTCATGTGGCCAGCATGACTAAGCCGCTTCTGGAGAACCAGAGCAGCGCACGGAAACGTTTACCTTCCCGCCGGAGCGGTACCTATTTATCTACTTGCACTTTGATGTGCTTTCGAACTGCTAGGTTGGCAGGAGTTGGGAGCTCACCCCGTTGTGGGGATTCGAACCGCCGACCTTCTGATCGGCAAGTCACAGTGCCACCCGCGTTCCTTATTAATGGTGGTAGTAGTAGTAATAATAATGCATCACACTGTCCTGTCTTTGCCAGGGTGATGGGTAATCCTGAGCCCCTTCCTTATTCTGTAGCTTTCCATTTAGAGACACCTTGAATCCCGTTCCCTATTATGTGATGCTGTTGCTTGCTCTTTCTGTTTTCTGACATAGTTTTGGCCTTCTGAGAAAGTTGGGAAATAACTGCTGCCGCCTCTTTGGGGAAGGGCCATTGTTCAATGGTATTGCTGCTTTGCATGCAGAAGTTGCCAGGTTTGATCCCTGGCACCTTTGCATAGGGCTGGAA